ACTGCGCTGCTGGCATCGGGGTGTCTCCGCGGCACGCCTGCCTCCGGACCGCCGCGCCGCCGCTCGCCGTGAAGACCCGGCGCTGGGTTCCAGCTCAGCCCTCATGCTGTGGGCGCTGGGCTGCCGCTTTCCCCTGTTTTGCGGTGGGAGGTGGAGAAAGAGGGATTGTCCGTGATTCAACACCGAAAATGCGATTAGGAGGAATTGCTTTCACTAATCTGTTTCTAACCTCTTAGTCTATGTTGGCCTGTGAGCCCTTTCAGCTTTCAGATCGAGCCTGATTAGGTAAGTGTGAATTATTCACTTGGGGTGAGGGAAGGCGGATGGAAACGTTGTACTTGGAGACTTACCTACGATCCTGGCCCTCTCATGATGAGAAAGTTCAGCTGTAAACTAATTCTGAGCTGAGCAGCATTTGTTTACTTGTTGAAATCTGCCCGTGCAAGAGGTTTGCAGTCAGATTTCTAGGATCACCACAGAGCCGAGTGTGAGTTGCTGTGGGACGTCTCAGATGCTGTAGCAAAATACAGTGGTCTTTTTTATGATCGTTGGAGAACTTTTTTTTTTTTTAGCGTTTGGAGAGCTTCCTCATCAAACTTCAACAGATTCTCTCGGTTGTTTCACATTTCCTCAGACATGAATTACTTCATTTGTTTCTGCCCCCCCCCCCCCCCCCACCACTCTGCAATGTGGCAACCTACCTGTAGCATTTGGTGGGCGAGATTCTCTGCTCTGTAGATAGCTAAAGCAGCTGATCTGCATGAATCACTGGATTTCCAAACAATATGTTACAATAGATATTGTTGATAGTAGTAACAGGGTGCATAGTCCTGGTGATGGAAACGTAGCTAGTACTTCGATTAAGAAGATATCTTTTTGAATTTGATAAAGCTTGTGTAATATCCGGTGTCTCCCTCTGTTGTGGCTTTGGAAAAACTGCTTTGTCAACAGATCCCTTAGCTGCTTCTCAGGATTAAAGCTTTCTCTTCCTGCTGCTGCTTTTTTGCTTCAATTGAGGGAGAATTAATTGCTGAACATCTGCAGTCTACCAAAAATCCTGATCCATAAAATCTCAGAGGAGTGGGGTGAGGGAGTACGTTTTTGCCTGTGTGTGTAGGTTAATGCATGTTTGTATATCCTGAGTGTATCTGTGTGTGCATGCTGTGGGAACGGAGGAGGAGAAGGTATGCACGCACATCCAAACAGTCCATTTTTGGTTTGTGCCGGCAACTACCTCCATCATTCCTCAGTCCGTATGATGCTAATACTTCATCTCATTTAAAAGTTTCCGGTAGTACTTTGCCCAGTTCTCTTAAGAGGGGCAGAAACCCTTTTGCTGCTGGGGTCACAGTGGCTGTTGGCTGGTCTGCAGGCAGGACGGTGCATTGGTGGCAGTGATGTGGCACAGCCAGTAGCGCACCCAAGGCACATGCACACAGAGCCTTCACCTGGAGCTGGCTCTCCCTGGGGGCAGTGCAAAGCTCCTCTCCCTCTCGGGGTCAGTCCTCGGCTCCACCACTTCAGCTGAGCTCTTCAAAGGTCGGGCCATGCTGCGCGGCTCCCAAAGTTTAAGAAAGGCTCCAGCTTAATCAGACAAACACATTTCAGCAGCTCCGTGCATTACACAGGCATTTAACATCCTGCTCGCTACGTTTCTCTCTGGGAATTACTGAAATGCTGAATAATGGAGAAGGTGAATTACATCTTTGCTTCTGTTGGGATTATACTTACCTGCCGCAGGCTGGGCTGTGTTGGTAGCCCAGGTAGTCCCTCTTCAGAGATGCTGTACGCAGAATTCTGTACTATTCCACCTCTTGCAGACCAAGTATAACCCAGCACCATCTTTCATGCTGGATGCAGATCTACCTGCAGATTGTGCTTGTCTCGTTTTTCAACTCAGGTTTCCCACCTCAGTTTAATGAAGTGGACTGTGCACCATACATAGCACAGAGGGACAGTGGCCACAGCGGGAGGTTAAGACCATGCTTAAACTTGGATTCAAATCCCTCTGAGCTGCCCATCACCATGCGATTTCAGGCACCTAGTTTGATTTCTGGTGCATCAGGAAACTCGACTGCGTGGATGAGGAACATAAAAATTAGATGATCTATGAGCCACCATTCCTACAGAGATATTTTGTGGGCATATGCTTACAGGCATGTGTGTCTAATTTATGTATTTTGTATGTTTTATTCTTTTTTAACAGTAAATCAAGAAGAGGCTTAATTCAAATGAAAAAGTGATAGTTACCTGTGCAGTTTTAAAGCACTGTTTTATTCTTGGGTGCTGGTTGAAACTATGGCCTTTATAAGACAATATTCCTTAGAATTTTTTGAGTTTGTTCTCACTTAAAAATAACTTGTTTTCAGACCACAACACTGGTCTCCCTATGGAAGCAGCTGTTTCTGTCTGGCATTGAGATCTCATGGAGAAGCTGAGGAGGGGAATGGCTCTTCATATCCATGAAGCATGGATACTTCTATTGGTACTCCCTGCTTTGGTCACTCCAGCTGCCATCAATCATGAAGACTACCCTGCTGATGAAGGGGACCAGACCTCCAGTAATGACAATCTGATCTTTGATGACTATCGAGGGAAGGGCTGTGTCGATGACAGTGGGTTTGTGTACAAATTGGGAGAACGTTTTTTCCCGGGACATTCCAACTGTCCCTGTGTCTGTACTGAGGATGGACCTGTTTGTGATCAACCAGAATGCCCTAAAATCCACCCAAAGTGTACAAAAGTGGAACACAATGGATGCTGTCCAGAATGCAAAGAAGTGAGAAACTTTTGTGAATATCATGGGAAAAATTACAAAATCTTGGAGGAATTTAAGGTATGATCCCTTTTTTGAGTATTTAATGTTACTATGCTGTTGGATTTGTATTTCTGTTGGGGCCTCTCAGAGACACTCAGTATTTGCTTACTGCCGTTAATTGATGCTAAAGCTGAAGTCCTTTTAGCTGTGATGCAGGTCTGGCTGATGTAAAAGCTGCCACTGACCCCCTGATGTGCACTCACTGAGGGCCAATGATCAGTCAAGAGCCGCTGTGTGAAATGCCAGCCCTCTACTACTCTGAGCAACCTCCTCCTTTGCTCATAGCATGAATCAGGCTGGACTACCTATGGTGTCTGTAAAAATCGTGGTAAAGTGTATTCTGAGTGATTTTAAGAACTGCTTTTCCAATTTGGATCTCAAAAATGGATGGCATGGTGGTGGGAGTTGTTACTCCTAACTGTATGAGAGGCAAGTAAGTAGATTGCAACCTATATTTAATATTTTCGTTTCAGCTGTGATAAGGCTGTCTAGAATGGCAGAAGATGAATTCCTAGGCAGATGACCATCTCAAGTAATGAGAAGTATGGATTTAATTGTAATGGTTGAGTTCTTATTAGGAATGTTGTAAAGAAACCCTTCTGGAATATATCTTAAAAATAAGACCAGATTTTCAAAAAACATTACCCTGTGCACAGCCTGCATATCTCATTCTAAAGAGTGTGATTGCGTGTTTTCAATTCTGCTGAGGAAAATAGCATTTCACATTGAAGAACAGGCTCTGTAAAGGCATACATGAGTTTGTTCTCCCAGGTCACATGGCTTTAAGATTCATACTTCCATAATTAATGACAGCCTATAACTCTTCATGGCTGTATGCCCAATCTCATTACACACTTGCCAATGTATTTTCTTTTCTGACAATGAAAGTACTTCTGTATAGATCTGTGTATTTCACGAGTACTCAGTAACACAGATTACAATTTCCTTTTTCCCAGATACTGTCATTTTCAATTAAGGTAGTATTTCGTTCCTTTCTCCTGTCGTGTATGCTTTATGTTCCTCTTTTTCTGTCCATCTGTAACTGCAGTCACTCAGTATGGTCAAGGCTGTTTAATGTCATAGACACAAGAGAAAACAAATTTGTGAGGAGCATCTCCTTGAGGGCCATGCTGATCCACCTGTTCTCTGCTTTGCTGAAGAATGTCAGGATGCTGATCTTCTGAACTGCTTAAATAATGATTACTTCTTGCCCCGGGAAAGCCTAGCCAAACTTCATCCCACAATCACGCTTCAGCGGTCCCATTTTGACTGCTGTGTTGTCAGGTGGTGAAGTGTCCCACCTAGGTGTAATTCCAACACATGATTAGGTTCTTATGTGAGAGTTATAAGGACTCTTTTTGGAGAGAGTTTAGGAAGGAGAAAGTTGTAAGGACTCTTTTTGGAGAGATTTCAGTGGGAGAATAATTAGTTGGATCTGCTCATTACAGTATCTCTTGCATGTGGATGAAGTACAAAAGTACTAATCACTTTTCCTGAAAGAAATAATTGCACTCTGATAATGGATTAAAGAATAGGGAAACAGAATTTAGAGGAGAAAGGCTATTAGAGAGAGTTAGAGCAATCTAGTTCATTGTTTGCTGTGTTCAAAAACTGTGGGGTGTCATGTGGAAAGTGAAGTTCCAGTATCCTCTAAGAAACACAAAGTAGATCGTGTCACGCCACTCCCACACATGGTAGCCTTCAGTCCAGGACTAATGTGAGATCCTTCAGACTTAATTCAGTTGACAGTCGAGCTTTTGACCTGGACCTGTGTTTTGCTGAGAGCTCAATACCTTGTAGAGTAGGACAAAACCCAAACCAATTATTTTTAAATCTGTAGTTTACCTATAATAAGGAGTGAAATTCTTTTTTTCCTCCAAGTAGTGGAAGAGATTCAGGTAATGGAAGATTACTGTGCACTTCCAGGGGTGTTTTGAGGGAAAAAAAGGAGCATCTGTGAACTATGACTTTATAAATGCTATAGGAAAGACAGAACATCAAGATTCAGGAAACCACTACGATGAAGTGAAATCTGGACTTCATTGAAGCTTCCAAGCTTTTTTTTGCCTGCTGCAAAGATTTTACCTGCTATTTGCACAAATGAAATTCTGAGCAGTTCATAGCTTTTACAGGCTCTGAGCTCTGCTCTGCCCTTGTCCTGTTGAATTCATAAGGTCTGCAAACTTTCTCAAGTCCATTCCACACACACTGAATTCAAAGAGGAGAGGCTTTCTCCGGTCATTCTGACTCAAAACCAGACTACTTTCAGTGGAAATGGAGGCACTGTTTTATGTGTCTTATAACCTTTTCACCCACTTGGTTTACTTTTGATAATACCTAGATTCCAAATCATCATCCATAGAAGTGCTTGTCACTGCTTAGTTACAGCTGAAATTAGCCTCCATTTAAAAGCATTTTGCAAGTGTGTGTGTGCCAGGACTGACTTGTCTTGTAGAAATTTCAACTGCCTGATCTTTCACAAATCAGGATTCTTTTTTTTTTTTCTCTAGGGAGTTCTTTTCTCTATCAAAATTTGTGAGAGGTTTCCATTTGGGAGAACTTTTCTGTCTTGTTTCTGGATTTCTGTTTAGGTTTGGGGTGAGAAATCCAAATGCAATTTAATCTTTTTTTTTTCTTGCCTCTAACAGTAACTGTGACTATCTCTGGGTAAAGGAGTAGTTATAAAGGCCCATTTCTTGAATATTTAGCTTTCTTCTAGTGAACTGATCTTGTACCTCTGATTTTTTGGACTTATAACAGTCACGAATGTAAAATATAAACATGACAACAAGCCATCTAGCTTTGACAGCTGTCCAAATATTTATGCTTGTGCCCGAAATCATTAGCACGTACAAATGAAATGCTGAACTGAAGTTCAGTTGTAGATCTAGACCCATTAGTAGTTTTTCTTGGATCCTTTTATAAAACCTTGTGTCCCTCACAGATGATTTAGTAACCCTATGTAGCAACTTCATAGCTCTGTTATGGATCCGGGGAGATCATTGTGGGTTTTGGGCCCCAGCTGCCCATACGGTGCCTGTCTTATCCCCTTGGTTTGACTGGGACTTATCTTCAACTTGAGCTGAGGCTGCAGTTCCACCTGGAAACCCTTGCAGAAAATGTCAGCCTGATCTCTCTGATGTGAATCAAGGCCTGGCTCAAATATGTATCTAGTTCTGACATACAAATATGTATATAGATAGTTGCCTGGTGTTCATGATTTTGACTCCTGTGGAGCAGTACACAGGTGAAAGGGGAGGTCTGGTGGTTTTTACCCATCTCACATTCCACTTCTCTCCTTATCGACCTCAAATCTGGTCTCCCAGATCTTCTCCAGTCCCTCTCAGAGGCGAACGCAGGGTGATGGGCAGCTGCGATGGCTGCAGAGAAGGTGTGAAGTATGCTGTAAGTCTCAGGCAGTCTCTATTTTCTCCAGAGAGATCTGGCGGGGACCCTTGGGGTCACTTAGCAGCTTGCTTTATCTCCCACACGTCAGCCGTGTTTTGATTTCAGTCCTGGAGGTTTAGGTCTGAGTCCAGAGTGCTCTGTGCTTGCCTGTACTGGCAGAGATCTTTCAGGGGGGTTGTTAACCTTCCCCTTTCTTCCCAGGGAGAGAAAAGAAGCAAATAACAACTCAGAGAGCAGTCTCAGTTATTGTAAGTACACATGGTTGTGTTTAAATGAATGTTCCCAGACAGCAGCTTATGTAAACTTAAGGAGACAGTGTACCGCCAGCGTGATGGATGTTCATTGGCAGCTTATGGAGAAATTGTGCAAATGTCAGTGAGACGGCAGTTTTCCTAGGTGCTGATTAGTTTTTACTCTCATGCATAACTTACTGACAGAAAAGCACACATCTACCCAAATCTGAGAAATGCAATTTATGACGTGGTTTAAGATAGATTTGTAGCCACAGTTGGGAGCCATTTGAAAAGGATTAGCTTGTCAGTTTGAGGGGTCCATAATCACTTCTGAACTTCCTAGATCTCTCATCACCCAATATAGGCATACCCAGAATAACTTTCTTTCTATGGACCTATATGAATTCATAGCAAAACACCATTTTTGGGGCATGAATGGTCGGTCCACAAGAGATTGTCAAGCTGACATCTTGAAACACTCTCTTCATTTTAGATCCCACAGGCAGGAACTGCTCCTTGTCCCTGCAGGAGAGTGAGTCCCAGTGACACAGTTTTTGGTAGCATGGTGCCATCCTTCTCAAAGTCAATGGCAGAAATTTTGTAGCCACAGACACTAGTATCTCCATTTTCCTGCCAGGATATTGGGTGAGTTATCCCTCGGGTGGGAACGCAAGAGGTTTTGGCATCACAACTTGGCCTTCCTGGTAATATTCAGGTCCGAAGAGCAGCTTTAACCTACACTTGTGAACTTGAGCTTGGAAACAGCTCTGAACATCAAAGACATTTTTGGGTGCTCTTCAGTGGCCACCCTGCTTTCTGCCAAGCACAGAGCTCCAGCTTGTCCCTACCATTGGCCCTGCCAATGCTTAACCTCTGCTGCTGCCTTTCATCTGCCTGCCCTTCCCAATGACTTCTCCACCTCCTTGTCCTCTCCCCTTCCACCATCACTGGTTGCAAACCCATCCTTGCTCAAGAAGTCCCTAGATGATGCCCAAATGTTTGTTCCTTGCATCGAGAACAAGTGTGGAGGGATGGGAGAACAAACCTTGCCCCTGGGCAGGCGTCTTCACTGTGAAAAAAAACAACCCAACAGGAAAGAGGAGATTTTTGCTTCATTCTAGGGCAAAATCTCCACTGATTTGAAAAGAGCCAGGATTTCACTGCTGGAATTCTACTTTATTTTTCTTTCTCATGTTTCCTGCCACTATATCTTAAGTTCATTGCTTTGTTTTGCCCACAAATCATCTGTAATCCTTCAGCTAGGGCTTCTGTATCTCGCTGACTTTATGTCTTCTTGAGCAGCACTTTGCACAGTAGGGATCACAGCTCTAACAGGGAACTTTGGGGTATAGTCAGAATTCAAAACAGATGAGGGAC